GGGATGCGGACAAGAATGGGACAGGGACAGCACGGGACCTGGGATGGGATGGGGACGTGGACAGGAGTGGGAATGGGACAGGGATATGGGGCAGGGACCAGGATGGGAACGGGGACAGGAATAGGACAGGACGGGACCAGGGATGGGATGGGGACAGGGGCAGGGATAGGGGACAGGAACAAGGATGGGAACAGGGAACGGGAACGGGACCAGGCTTGGGCCCTCTGTGGAGGGACTGAGTTGGGCTGGAGGCCTTAGGGGGACCCCGGGCTGTCCCCAGCTGTGGCCCCTGGCTGGCTGAGCTCTGCCGTCCTCTCCTGCAGGTCTCAGGCTCCCTGGGCACGGCGTGCTGGGCTGGCGGTGAGTGGGAGCATCCTGGAGCGGGGGGCAGTGGGATCCCTGACCTCAGGGCAATGGAACTCCTGATCCCGGGGCTGGGGGATGCTGGAAGCTGTGCAGTGGCATCTCTGACCCCAGAGCAGTAGGGCCCCTGACCTCAGGGCTGGGGGATGTGGAGCAGGGGCAGTGGGACCCCTGACTCATAGCTGAGCAGCTCCTCCATGCCAGGGAGCCCTGAGTAAGCTGTGGGAGGGTTTGGGGTGTCACTGGGGGTCTCCCCCCTTGCTGACCCACCCCTGGGGCTACTCTGCCCCCCGTGGGGAGGGCACTGGTATGTGGTGGAGGCTGTGTCACCTGTCACCTGTGTGGTGGCTCTCCTGTCCCCCAGGCCCTGTGCTGTGACACCTGTTCACACTCAGCTGCTCCATCAGACGTCGGTGGCTGATCATGCAGACAGGTAACAGCTCCTCAGCCATGTCCCCTCCCATGGGTTGGGGGCTCCCAGGGGCACCTCCTGCTTGCTGGTGCTCTGTCAGGCTTGTCCTGCCTTCACTTCTGGGATCTGGAGGGAGCTGGCAGTGTGTGAGCCCTGGGGACCCTCTAATTTGGGTATGGCAGAGGAATTATGTGTGAACACCAGACCCCCACACTGGGGGAGAACCTCTGCCATGAACCAGCTCCAGGGGAGGTGGAAGGTGTGGGATTGTCCATCCTTGGCTGTCCATCAGTGACGTACCATGGATTCCTCAGGGAGTCACAGCTCCTCCAGGATAGGGTTTGACTCTGCAGCTGGAGACTGACAGCAGTGCCCTGTTTCCTGTAGCTCTGTGCAGGTGCAGCCAAAGAGCTCAGCTGTTGTCCAGAGAAAGTCTTACCTCCCCAGCAGCCGAGGGGAGTACATCGTCACCAAGCTCGATGACCTCATCAACTGGGCACGGAGGGTGAGTGCTGGGGCTGCTGGGACTGAGCGGGAGAGAGCTGGGACAGAGTGGGAAGAGCTGGGACTGAGTGGGAGAGAGCTGGGATTGTGTGGGTGAGAGCTAGGACTGAGTGGGAAAGAGCTGGAATTGAGTGGGAAAGAGCTGGAACTGAGTGCGAAAGAGCTGGGATTGAGTGGGGAAGCTGGGATCAAGTAGGGAAGCTGGGATTGAGTGCTGCTGTGATCAGAGGAGAGCTGGGATCCAGTGCCTGTGGGAAATGGATTGGAGTCACCTCCTCCTTGGGATAAAAATAGGCTCAGAGCTCCTTGCAGGGAAATGGCCAAGTTACATGGCCACAGGGTGACATTTGGGGTCCAGGGACAGAGCAGGAGAGAGGCTGAAGGCACAGGGGGCAGAGAACAGTATGGGGTGCAGAACTGCCCTTCAGTCACAGGCCAAGGGCACTTTCTGGCACTATAGTCCTTGCCCTGAGCAGCTCTCTGTCTGTGTGGCAAGTGACACAAGTGGCACTGCCCCAAGCCTGCTGTGCTCTGCCTTAGCTGAGTTGTTCTTTCTCCAGCCACTGCTGTCCCTGTGTGGGGCTTTGAGTTGTCCCTTCCCTGCTGTCCCTGTGGGGCCCTGAGGTGGTTTAAGCAGTGTGGGAGGTACAAGGAGCAGCTCTGTGCATATTCAGCACCTCTGAGGCTGCACACACATATCTCCAAGTGCCTCTTTCCCCGTGGGCTTTTCCCCCCACAATTTAAACCTCCCCCATCCCTTTCCCTTTCTGACACACTCTTGTCCCAGCCCTCGCCCCTTCACCTGTCCCTGTGTGTGTCCCTGCAGAGCTCCCTGTGGCCTATGACCTTTGGGCTGGCCTGCTGTGCTGTGGAGATGATGCACATGGCAGCTCCTCGCTACGACATGGATCGCTTCGGGGTCGTGTTCCGCGCCAGTCCCCGCCAGGCTGACGTCATGATTGTGGCAGGGACCCTCACCAACAAGATGGCCCCAGCGCTGCGGAAGGTACCAGTGTCCCTGGGGGCCTCCTGCACCCAGCTGGGGACATGGAGCTGATTCCACATGTCCATGTCCCACAGGTGTATGACCAGATGCCGGAACCTCGCTACGTCGTCTCCATGGGCAGGTGAGTGCTGGGATGGCCTCGGCACCGTGGGGCAGTGTGTGTGTGTGCAGGGAGAGGAATGCATCCTTCTTTGTGTCTCCAAGGCCTTAAATGCTCCAAAGAGGCCTTGGAAAGCAGAGCAGGGAGGCTCCCTCTCACTGGGAATGATGTGTGTGACACTGAGCTGCAGAGACCTCCCAGGGATGGATCCGGGGGTTTGCAGCCAGGGAACCGTGTATGTCCAGAGTCCCAGAGT